GCCTCCTTCTTCTACACAGCCTCCTTCTACACAGCCTCCTTCTGCTGTACGGCCTCCTTCTTCTACACAGCCTCCTTCTGCTGCACAGCCTCCTTCTGCTGCACAGCCTCCTTCTTCTACACAGCCTCCTTCTGCTGCATGGCCTCCTTCTTCTACACGGCCTCCTTCTGCTGCACAGCCTCCTTCTGCTGCACAGCCTCCTTCTTCTACACAGCCTCCTTCTTCTACACAGCCTCCTTCTGCTGCACAGCCTCCTTCTACTACACAGCCTCCTTCTGCTGCATGGACTCCTTCTGCTGCACGGCCTCCTTCTTCTACACAGCCTCCTTCTGCACAGCCTCCTTCTGCTGCACGGCCTCCTGCTGCAAAGCCTCCTTCTTCTACACAGCCTCCTTCTGCTGCAAAGCCTCCTTCTTCTACACAGCATCCTTCTGCAGACACCCCTGCACATCAGGGGTAGCCTTCCCCCACTGTCTTCAGGTAAGGGGCGGAGGGCAGGCCAAGGTCCCTGCTGGCCGTGTGAGGAGGACACGCTCCTGAGGGCCCAGCCTCAGGCTCTGCCCCACTGCAGCCTGCCTCCACCCCAGGCCCACAGGCTGATTCCATCCTCAGGGGAGGTGAAGGCCCAGCTGGGCACATGGGCAGTGTCCTCCAACACAGTGGAGCACTAGCCCCTCAGAACCAGGCAAGAGGCTGGCTGGGGAGCCACTTCCTGCAGGGTCCAGTCACTGTCCCGTGCACAGTGGCCCTGGCTCACTGACTCCCGGGGCGGCTGGTGCCTCTTCCCGCCTCTGGCCCTGTGGTTGTGTCCACTCCAACACCAAGCCCCACAGGCACCGCGGGCATGTGGACCCCGCGCCCAGGGAGCATCTTGTCCACCTGGAGCAGCCAGGAAGGGCGGCTGTCTCTGAAACCCCCACTCTTGTTGGGAGTGTGCCACTTTACCCCTGGGAACAGCAAGGGAGAGTGTGGGATGACCCCGGGCCCCTCCGGCCCTTCCTGAGATGCCTGCCCAGTGCCCTAGAGGAGCGCCAGCCCTGACCCTGATCCCTTGGCCGGGAAGTGACGGGCCCTGGGGGAGTAGCTGGAGAGTGCAGGCAGTCCCGCCAGAAGGAAGGCTGTGGGAGGGCGGCGGCCCTGCTGGAAACTCCCAGAGTGCCTGTCATGAGTGTGTGTGTGCCACGCCGTGCGTGTGTCATGAGCGTGTACGGTGTGTGCAAACACCATGCACCAGTGTGAGTGTGTGCACATCTGTGCACGAGTGTCAGTGTGTCTGGTGTGTGCACATGCTGAGCACCAGTGGGGAATGTGTCCTGCACAGAGGTCCTGCTCAGCCCTGGAGGTGGGAAGTAGGGGGCTCCATCCCACACAGAGGACCCCCAGAGCCCACCTGGGGGTCCAGGAGAGACGGGTCCTGTCCCCCCAGCCTGCCCATCCCCCTGCACCCCTGTGCCCTGCAGACCTGGCCAGACCCTAGCCCTGAGCGACCCAGGCCCATCTGAGCAGGAGGTGGCCAGGGGCTGAGTGTCCTGGAGGGGCTGCAGCCAGGACAGGAGGCCCCATCCCCCCAGTCCTGCCCACGGTGCTGCAGATCCTTAAGTGTCCAGGTGCCCAGCTGTGGTCCTCTGCCCGCCCACGCCAGCCCCTCACCTGCTGCCTGCTGCTCTGCTCCTGCTCCTCCTTCTGCTCCCCTGGGTGCCTCCTGCCAGGGCTTTCTCTGCTCCGCCCAGAAGAAAACTGAAAGAGCCCAGAGGGAGGGGCCAGGGGAGGAGGCAGGTCTCCTGCGTGCCAGGGGACTGTGCTAAGCAGGRAGGAGACCCTTCTGGGAAGCCACCGGGTTTCGGGAAGTATGCCGTGTCCTCAGAACGTGCCACCTTCTTGGTAGCGCTCTTGCCAAGGCTGATTGTCAGAGCCGCGCACTGCAAAGCCTGTGGGGGGCAGGGGAGACGCCCTCCAGCAGAGCTGGGCGGGATGTCCCTTGCCCAGGGCTCAGGGCTGCTCCTCTG